AATGCTGATGTTTCTTTTTATGCGTAAATAAAGAGGTCTCATGTTTGAATCGTTAAATGACAAGTTTGATTTCTAATTATGTAGTTTAATCGAAATCCTTTTATCCCTAAAACAAAAAATAAAAACCAAATTGTATTTTTCATTTATCCCTTTTCTATTTTCAGCTTTTTTTTTTTTTTTGGTCAAACGATAAATTTGTTAAATTAGATGTTAGATTAGTCATCAACGGGGTTTGAACCCACGCCATAATGCAAGGGTTCAACACCTTTTCACCACTGCGGTAAGGGGCCACTTGCATTTTAGCTTATCGATATGAATGCTTTTTTCTTTCAACGAATGTTTTAAAAATGGAAATGAAAAGCGTACACAAGTAAATAAAGGTGGATCTCGAGGGTAGTTTCGGAATCGAAGAAATACATAAAACCGGCAGGCAGAAAAAGTGTATGGCTGTCGGAGTGGTAGAAAAAATCAGTTAATAAAAGAAAGAGAGAAGAGAGGCGAGGAAGGAACGCAGAGAGCCAAAAGATTTCGTAATATCCACTCCCTCCCTATCCACCCCCCCCCCCCCTCTCTCTCTCTCTCTCTCTCTCTCTCTCTCTATATATATATATATATATATATATATATATTTATCTATCTATATTTCCCAGTTTCTATCTTCTCATTTTTCTCTTCCATTTCCGAATCAGTCCTGTGGGGTTTTCAGAGCTAGGGTTTTTGTGAATCGAATTTTCATTCCGATTTCAATGAGTTCGGGTTCAATCTCCTGCTCTCCTGTCGTCACCAAAGACTTGGCCAAGAAGAAGAGGGTAAGCTCGCTCGCTATGTCATCCATTCTCCTCCGCTCTCTGTCTTTTCTCTTTCGTGCATGCGTCGGTGTGAGCTTGGAAATGGAGGGAAATTTGAATATGAAAAGTTTCAATTTCGACCGAGGGTTATTGGTGCATTCGTGAAATTCGATTTCAATTTTGGTTTTTGGGCGGAATTGAAGTTGAATTTTTGTGATGTTGTGAATTGTGAGCTTGTTCTTACTTGTAATTGTTTTTCTCAGACGAACAGGTTGGCGAAATTGAAGCAGAGCAAGCTCGATGTTCGCCGCGAGCAATGGCTTTCACATGGTATTGCTTCCTTCTCTCTCGATTTTTTTTTTTAATTTTTTTTTTGAATTATGAATTTTCAATACGAACAGAAAAAATTTTACTTTTTTGGATTGCCAATGAAGCTAGTATGTCCAACAAATAAAACAATGGAAGCTAATATGCTTAGTGGAGGTATGAAGATCGAAACTTGGGCATCGGACAATGTTTGTATTTGGATGCAGAACTTGGTGTTTGCGAAATGTAGACTTAGGCATCGGGTGAGCACAATGACGTTCGTTAAAAATTTAGAAAAATAAAAAGGACCTTTATCTAAGGTGTCATACATGTTCTTACCCACAATTTTGAAGTAAAGCTGGTTTCTTTGTCAAGAGTTCGCTGCCATCGGTCGTCATTACTCGATCAATGACATGATCAATGGATATAGGGAAAAGTCTTTTTCATGCCTTAGGTAGTTCTATGAACCAAATCAAGACGCCGAGCTTTTTCTAGAAGTTTTGATCTCATCGATTCAGGAAAGACTGACGAGTGGCTTCGCTTTTGAATTGTTTTTTTTTTTTAATGTGCGTCTTGCACAACTGACTTTGATGTGGCACCTGACGTTTTCCCTGACATTGATGACCTGATTTTTCTTCTCCCCACCCCCACAAAAGACAACGAAGTTTTACATTAACGGCTTTTGTGGAACAAGTTAGAGATTTTTAGTAGTTATCAAAATTTTCTTATATACATTTGATCCTAATAAACTTCGTGTGCAATGCAGTCAAGAATAAAGGGCACAAAGTGAACTTGGATGGGAGGGGTGGGTCTCCTACACCATCTAGGCAAGTAGAGAAAGGGCAAAATGGATCATTGGACAATTTGGAAACGAATTCAACCGGAGGAGAGAATGACAATTCGAGCATCCATGACAGCGATTTGGAGTCTCTGACAACCAGTCCGAGTGGAAGCAGTTTGGATTGTAATGATTCGATGAAGAATCTTAGTGAGAGCAGTGGAAGAAATTGTTCGGGAACTGTCAGCAAGGAGGATGCTGATGATGGGTGTCTAGATGACTGGGAGGCTGTGGCCGATGCTTTAAATGCAGAGGACAACAAGCATACCCCTCTTACTGATTTTCCTTCCAAAGCGGAAATCACAGTTGAACCCACAGTTTAAACTATCTAGCGAGAATCCTGGAGTTGAATTATCAAATCCAGAGGATAGAAACATGGTTCCTGGGTCACATACGGCGCGTTGTGCTTGGAGACCTGATGATGCTTCCCGTCCTCAGAGTCTGCCCAATGTGCCAAAACAGCATAGTTTCATGGTGCAATCAGACTGGCATTGTGGCCATGGAACCATTGCATGGGCATGGCAAAACATCGTGCCCCAGCCTTCTTCATGTCCTATATGCTATGAGGATTTAGATGTCACAGACTCGAGCTTTATTCCGTGTTCATGCGGCTTTCGCCTTTGCCTCTTTTGCCACAAAAGGATTCTAGAGGCAGACGGGCGCTGTCCAGGCTGCAGGAAGCAGTACGATCATGGAAACGGAGCAATGAGCATCAACAGAGGAGCTACAACTTTTAGAGTGGCTTGATCTTGCAGTGTGAGTACAAAATCCTAGAAAGTGAGTTTCTATATCGTGAACTTTTTGTTTATCGCCTCTCTGTTTGCGCTGAGTCAAGTCCGTCAAACTTTATATATCGTTAACGAAAATTTGAGTTCTGATTGAGGCGGGAAGCGGCCTGGTATCGGAATTGGAACTTTGGTGAGTCCAATTCCTGTATAATGTTTAGAATATGTTGGTGTAGGAAACTGATGCAGTTATGTGAATAGTTGGGGGTGGTACAAACTTTCCAAATAAGAAATTTAAGTATATCCACGTTCTTTTACCTATGGGGATGTCACTGGCGTTCTGGATCAATAACACAATGGAATGTTCCCGAGAGATCTCTCTTAGACGACACTTCTTGCGGTCAGTCCCTGTCATCTCGGGATGCCTCAATGGCAGTATTCTCAACCAATCATGCAGTGTCATGTACCAGATACGATTGTCTTGAGATACTGTTATTGTCGCATCGAAGTTTCACTCTTGTATGAGATAAAATTGTCGTGTTTGTCTAGTATGAACCGACTCATAGCATGCCTCGAAATCTATAGCCGTTGAATTGTTAGATAAGGATCCAACGGTTACATTCTGGAATTTCCGATTTTTGGGTGTCTAAATTCGCTTGAATTCTTCAAATCTAATGTGAAACTGCCAGATGGAATTGTGGAGCTACGGCTTTGTGGTGACGACAGCCAGCCAGTTGGTTGCCGCCTTCTCCTACAAGACTCATCTGTCCACGTGAACTCTTAACATTTGGAAGCCATGTTGGTTAACTTTTATTTTTTAAATTCCAATTTTATTATTCTCAAAATTTTCAAAAATTGTACTTTTCTATACTTATTTTCTTGCGTCTCGTTTTTATACTTAAACGTTTAATTTTTCTGTCACTTAGCATATTTCCGTTTGTCTTTTCGTTATGTTTTCCGTTAACTGTTGACGCGATGAAAAAATCAAAGGTGGTCAACTATTTGTTGTCAAATCTGCGCCTCCCAAGGGGAATGGCCATTGACTAGTTGGCTTCCAAAAACCTGCTACAATTTAGTCCCCATGTCGCTTTAAGATTTTGAAAACCTCGGATAACTTGTGTGACCAGTAAACCCAAGTCACATTTATCTTCTAGGCCATCTTAGATACTTTGTAGAATGTATGTATAAACTTGACTACTTGCTCTCGAAAAAATTATAGTAACAAGGGGAACATCGTCATCCATGATAATCGATCAACTTATAACTTAAAAAAATAACAATCAAACCTTATTTCACTAAGTAGGATCGGTTGTATGAATTCTAAAATGCTTAGGCGCTTGGTTTTGTATCAAATTTTCCTTTTGATGAAAATTGCGATATTCCAGCACCGTTAGCTCTAAGTATTTTATATCTTTTTGAGATTTTCTGTTACTTTTTCGTTTTAAAAGGATACTATGTTTGAAACTTGAAAGGTAAAAACAGCAATTGTGTTTTAGTCCAAGATAAATGGTTTTTTTTTTTTTAAATTTGGTACCACAAGTAAAATAAATATAATCATTTTTGGTTAAAATAAGGTACTTTCTTGGCATTGAGTTTCATTCTGGATTTCTGTATTTTGAGTCCGTAAATCGAGAGATCTGAACTAGTCAACTTCAATCCAACAACCCCATTAGCTCATCTCACTGACCCACTTCGCAAAAATTCAAAAACTTAACTATTTGAATCTCTTTCTCTCTCTAAACAATCTCTTAATCTTTAGACTTCTGACACAAAAATCCGTATTAAACCTCAATTCTCATTCATGGCATGTGGTCACTTGCCAATGATTAACAATAAGTGCAATAATGATATTCCAAGCTGTTCAAAGCACATGGCCACATGGCTTCCTACGCTGGACAGAACCTCCAGTGGAAAAGCATATTAAAATAATATATTTTTTATTTATTATCCAATACTAAAATAATATTCAAACAACCCGAAAGCTAATGGAAAATTCCTCTGCACCAAACCAAATGTGTTATATTGTATAACTGTCCTCTCAGTTTTCCAGAAATTTCACTTTCTTCTCTACAATTTATTTTTTTGCACTTTCATCCAAATAAGTTTGTTTTGATTTTTACTTTAAACATGTTTGTGATTGCTTATACAAACACTAAAAGTGCTTTTTATGAGCATAACTCCTTCCCTACATAAGCATAACTCGTAAAAGCCTGCAAGGAAAACAACCGAAAAACAACTTTCAGTACCCTGTAACTGAGAAACAAAAGAACAAATCCACCCGAGTTGAGGCTTGCGTCTGATTAATAATCGGTATAGGATTCCCAAGTGAAGTTGTATTTATAAAACTTAAAAAAAAAAATTCAGCCTCATTGCCAGATTGAAACGATACTATCGAAACGAACCTACAGGGATTAACACGAAAGAAAAACAAACTATATCGGAACAAAAATGAAAACCCGAATAAGCTACGGGGACTGTTGGTGCAATTTTAATATTTTGGTCCCAACTAATTATTACAATTTAAGCAACCAAATAATATTCAGACGCGTTTTTCTGTTAACACAAAAAAGACGTTTACTCTCTCTCTCTGCTTTTTCTTTGACCATTTCACTTACATATACTCCTTCCTCTCCTCCTCCTCTCCATTTCCATTCCCCTCCTCCATCGCCGACGATGCTTCTCCTTAAACCCATTGCTCTCCTCCTCCTCCTCCTCCTCCTCTCCGCCGTCCCCATTCCCGCAAACGCAATCCGATCGTTCCCGGACTCGCAAACCCAACCGGGAAATGAAAAACGATTCCACATGGATTTCTCAGAAGCTCCCAAATACACAAACGGAATCAGCTGCCCTGTTCTTCCGGGTGCAGCAAACGACGTCTGCGATTCCTCCCTCGTCCACGTCGCAATGACCATCGATTCCGAGTACTTGCGCGGCACCATTGCCGCCGTGCACTCTGTTTTCAAGCAAGCCTCCTGCCCGGAGAACATATTCTTCCACTTCGTCGCCTCGGATTCCGGCTCGGTTGATTCTCACCGCCTCTCTCGCATTCTGACGTCAACTTTTCCGGCGCTTAATTTCCGAGTTTATATCTTCAGAGAGAGTCAGGTGAACCATCTGATCTCTCCTTCGATTCGCCCAGCTCTGGAGAACCCATTGAACTACGCGAGGAGCTACTTGGCTGATTTGCTCGACCCCTGCGTTGAGCGAGTGATATATCTCGACTCCGATGTCGTTGTTGTCGATGACATCCAGAAGTTATGGGGGATTTCCTTATCCGGGTCGAGAGTGATCGGAGCTCCGGAGTACTGCCACGCCAATTTCACCAAGTATTTCTCCGACGAGTTCTGGAGCGATTCCGAGCTCCCCAAGGCGTTCGATAAAAAAACCCCGTGCTATTTCAACACCGGCGTGATGGTCATCGACTTGGTGAGATGGAGAGCCGGAGGGTTTACGAGAAAGATCGAGAACTGGATGGAGATTCAGAAGGAGAAGAGGATTTACGAGCTGGGTTCTCTTCCGCCGTTTTTGCTGGTGTTCGGCGGCGACGTGGAGGCGATTCACCACCGGTGGAACCAGCACGGCCTCGGCGGCGATAATTTGATGAACAGTTGCAGGCCTCTGCATCCGGGTCCGGTGAGTTTGCTGCATTGGAGCGGCGGAGGGAAGCCATGGACGCGGCTGGATTTGGGAATGCCTTGCCCTGTCGATCTTCTCTGGGCCCCTTACGATCTCTACAAACACCATCAAAGTCACCTTCAAGATCTGCATCTTCTTCAACAAACACATCAACAATTTTTTATGTTGTAGCATTAATTAGGCACAGGATTATTTATTTATTTATTTATTTTTTACATAAATTCGTTGATACATAGGAGGAAATATTATTTTTACCAGATGTAAATAGAGGGAGAGATTTGAACTGAATGAAAATTTTGGAACATATCGTTCCGTTTTGCCAAATTCAGTCATTTTTTTCTTTTCTCAAGGTGGTCTTCTGGTGCGTTGTACGATCAACATATGCCCAGACCGTCAATGTGCTCGGTTTTGATCTTATTTAGATCGTCTTTCCAAATCTTTGATAGGTTAAGTTATGTAGATCAAGATGCAAGAGGTCAGAAGAACAAGCGAAAATTATTGCGGTATTCCGTAAAACGCTTTCATTTCGAAGAAGAAGAATGATACAGATGAACTAGTAAAACAAACAAGGTTGACATAGATGAACATGAAGAATGTACACGCTTCGCACTTTCCCCTCTTCACAATAATCCAACAACGCAACTCAAATGTAATCGGTTCTCCAAGCCTCTTAAATGATGACCTAACAACATACACCTGCCAAACGAAATGTGAACTTTCAAATTTCAATCGTTAATGGAATCGGTTCAACTAGTACGATATCTCAGAAATCTGGAGCATTTATTTGCGCCTACGACTATACGTATAAACTATGTGAACGCGGACTATTCCCAGAAGTGACTTCATGCAAAGCAAATTTGGACAAGCAATAAAAACAAGCCATTTAAGGAGGACTATGACAGGAGTCTAACCAGAAAAGCAGTTTCGCTAGGTAATCTCGTGAAGTTCCTATGGTCTCAAGTTCGCCATCAGCATCTAGGCTAATCTCTTTGTCCCCTGTCTCCAAATCCTCAACAAATTCTGAGGAAGTACCATCTTTGAAGAATCTCTGCAATATATTTTGAATAAGCTGGTGTATAATTTCCTGCACCTCTAATGATGACGGTCGAGATAGTTCAGTTACCTGTTAAAACAAATGATGGTAGCATCATAAGAAAGGATGGACTCATAAAAATTGCAACCCCATCGCAAAGTAAGATTATTACCATATTAGAATCTAGAGACCGTAGATACTCCAATAAATCATTCCTAGGTCCTCTATCATATTCTAGTTGCATATTTTCCTGCTTTTCCGCCTTCAGTTCCTGAAAAAAGCAAAGCATGTCATTCCCACATTCTGCTTAAAACAATGCACAATCCTTCAAGCATTTAACTTCAATATCAAATTAAGCTCAAAAACACAAAACTTGAGCATCGTTACCTAGAGGTGGCAAATCAACCCATTGGGTTGTTAATGGGTAACCATTAAGACCTGTTTAGTTTGATTTCAACATAATAAGGTATTACACCATCATCACCACTACCATTCTTACCACCACCAATCTCACCACCTTATTACGGTGAAATCAAACTAAACGGGTCTTAATGGTTACCTATTGACAACCGAATGGGTTGATTTGCCACCTTCGTATATAAGATTGATACAAGACACATACAACGAATATAAAAACGTTCAGAACCTAAAACTTGGAAGATCATAAACCAAACAAAAAGGAGCTTTGATCTTGCTTTCAAAACTTAAAAAAAGCAGTCCAAACTAGAATTTTCGACTATTTTAGGCTCAATTCGAAGAAAAGCACTAGTAATTGTGGAAATGAAAAGGACAGAAAATTCAGAGAGCAAATGCTCACCTCCTTCACATTTGTCAGCTCTGATTGCAACGTCTGGATATAATTCAAAGCCTCCGGAGGCAAATCGCCGAAAACCTGAGGAGTTGCTGAATCCAAGAGTTCGCTACTCACCCCGATACCATTTCCACCATCCCTTTCCTCGCTTTCCACCCTATCCGACACCCCATCCATCTCCGACCGATCCAACGGCACAGAATTCTCCGTGGATATGTCGAAATTCCTCATCAACGATATCCGATACTCCGCGTTCCACAGTGTATATCTAATTGATACAATAAATCCCAAAGCAATTTTACTCTAATTAATACAATTACGCACTGAAATTACTGAAATTTGAAGAAAGGGGATAAAAATGTGAATTATTACCCGGTGATTATGGAGGATGCGAGGAGGCGGTGGAGAGGGGCTTTGCAAACCCTAACGGTGACGGAGAACTGTTCGGACGGGAGCAACCCCAGCATAGTAGAAATGGTCTGCTTCATGGAGTCCCTGGCGGAATCCGAAACGCCCTTGGAGATAACGGAGGTGTCGAGTGGCTCAATTTTCTTGAGCATGTTCGAAATCACGGAGAACCCGCGGTCGAACCCGGACTTCCGAGTCGAGACGAACTCGTCCGACACGCCGCCGCCGTCGACGCCGGAGATGAGGCATCGGACAGAAGAAGTTGAACCGGCGGATACACGTCGCCGCGGAAAGGAGGAGGGGAGTAAGGGGCGGACGAGGAGGTGGCGGGAAATCGGTGGCGGCGGTTGGGATGGCTTGAGAGAGAGGTCGGCGACGCGGGAGAAAACGAAGGCGCGAGCTGGCGCCGCCATGAACGAGCTGGCTATTTGCTGGAAGCTCTCCGCCTCTCTCACTCTCTGTGGCTTGCGCCTCCTGGAATCTTCAATCTTTATATCTGCCCGTTCAATTTTGATTGGCTGATGAGATTGACCTGGGTTTTTGAGGAAATTACAGATTCACCACTGGTGGACCAAACGAGGAGATTAATATTTAGACAAGTACCTACTGCGAAAGCGAGTACAAGTTTGTTGTGGGATTTTTGTGAATCAATTTCTAATAAAATAAAATTTAATTACTATTGCAATTATTGTAATCGAGTGAGTTGGCAATTTGCAATTGGACCACGTATCTAATTAGCTAAAGTAGAGGATAAAAAGAACTTGGTTGCTATACTTTGTTCTCTTTTTCTTCTTTGTAATTGAGATCATGAGCTGACAGATCACGTAAATCGATTCGAACCGTTCAAAAGAGGAAGAGGGAGATTCGTACTTTTGGTTTCTATGGGCTGACAGACTACGTAATTCGATTTGAACCGTCCAAAAGAGAAAGAGGGAGATTTGTACTTTTGGTTTCTGTGAGCTGACAGACCACGTAATTCGATTTGAACCGTTCAAAAGAGGAAGAGGGAGATTTGTACTCTTGGTTTTTGTGAGCTGACAGACCACGTAATTCGATTTAAACCGTTCAAAAGAGGAGGAGGGTACTCTTGGTTTTTGTGAAATAAGTCAGTAAGATGGAGTAATGAAGGCCGTACAATTTGAGATGAATGATCCGAATTACTTGATCCATTGGCTTCATCCTAATAAAGCCGTACGATTTGAAATAAATTATCCGAATTACTTGATCCGTCGGCTCCTGATCCGGAGAGGATCTCGATTCATTCTCCCGTTCCAATCACGCGTCATTTTTGAATTCCCCGACTAACAAAAATCTTGCCACGCAGGTATGCAACATTGGCAAAGATATCATAGTTTGGTCATAACTTGAGCATTTTCTCCAAGTGAAAACCAACGAGTAGTAACTTATGACTATTACCATTGGGGTGTGATATCTACACACCTCTGTTTACTTCTCACACAATCTTCTAAATTTTCAGCAGCCGGATTAGATAAATTGAAAAAAAATCAATGGAAAAAAATTAACAAGGATGTGTAAGAAGTAAAAAAAGGTTTGTGGACAGCACACCCCTTACCGTTTCACCAGTGAAAACACATACGATCGAACAACTCCAACTGATTACAACACGAAACCTGAATCTTCATCCCACAATAAGCAAAAAACCAATTCGATAAAGCACTAACTGTTACAGGCAAAGTATTGAAAATAAAACCGACATAATTCTGTTCTAAGACGCTATCAATCTAGTTGATGAAAAATACCGTTACGACAGTAATTGGAAGTAGTGGTGATCACAAAACCTATGGCTCGACTGTGCTTACTTGTTGCCACTCGCCATCGACAGATTCTTTCCACAATGTTACATTGTTATCCCCATCAGCTACCGCCAGCAAATTTCCGGTTAGTGACCATGACACCCTCCAGACCGGGGTCTTGAAATCCTTCAAAACCTTCCCTTCCCATTGCTCGCCTTCCTTAGCCACAATCCAAATCACCACTGTTCCATCCTGCGAAGCACTTGCGATTGTGGACTTTGGCAGTCCCAAGTTGGGTGCCCAGGCTACATCTCTCACCCAATCACTGTGCATTTGAAGGGCGGGGAAGCAATCCATCTTCCAAATCCCATTGTACAGCTTCCACACCTTCACAGTATTATCGCACCCACCGGATGCCAGCTTATGAACGGGATCAAGCAGACCAGATCCTACTAGAGCGCCAGGAGCCATTGCTGGGGCCCATGAAACTGAGGTTACTCCAACAGGGTGGGCTTGATCTATCTTAGTGGTGTCCCAACCACCATCGGCCCTGGCAGTGAAAACCGATATATTCCCATCAGAAGAACCGCAAGCTAAGATTAGACCAAGTTCATGAGGCGCCCAAGAAATGGAATTTACTGACGACTTGTGGTCATTAAAAACATGAGCCTGTTGCCACTCATTCGGATTACCCTCCTTCCAGATGATCACCTGACCATCGTAAGAACAGGAAGCAAGGATCGACCCGAACTTGGGATGCGCCCAAGCTACCTCCCAAACAGGGCCGCTATGAGCTGACAATGTAGCTAGGTGCTGTGATGCGTTTCCAACACCAATTATCTTAATGGTGGCATCAGACGAAGCTGTTGCTAGACGCTTTCCGTAGTAATCCATGGCTACATCGTGGACAGTGTCCTGGTGACCCGTTTCGATCTTCTGTGCAGGCATCGTTACCAATTTATATTCTCGTGCCGAAAATTTCCCCAAATCACCTTTCCTTCAATTTCCTAAATTTGTCTCTGCTTCCTCTGGAGTACAATGTTCTTCACATCAAAATTCAAGTCTAATATTCAATAACTAAATTCCCAAATTATTGCAATTCAGATAATTTCTATAGGCAAATTATATCACAAACAACGAGAAATTGAAGTAAACAAATTCACAATAAAAATATTATTTTGCGAGAAATTCCTCTTACAGCAGGTTGAAGATCTAACAGATCACAGGAGAACAAAAATAATTCGCTATAAAAACCCATAATTTAATTTAAATGTTCATACCAATAAAACGAAATCAATCATAATTTCAGATTAATTGCAGCCGAAATATAAAAATTCCAGAAACTTTGATTTCAGAAGCTCCGTAAGGGAAGATCTAGAAATAAAGTGTGATAGATCTGAAAATATCGTGCCAGAAATTGAACTGATTTTACATCGGAAATATAAACAAGGAACACGGCGGAGGAGCGACTGACCTCTGAGAGGAAGAGAGAGAGTGACAGAGGACGCGGCGGCGGTCTCTGATCGGAGAACCAAAATTTCTTGAGTTGAGAGAAAGCGCTTATCTTTGTAAGAGAGAGGAGAGAGAGTCGCTTTCAGGCTTCAGCAGCTCTGAGCGTGCGTATGTGTTTCTTAGGGAATGTTTAGGCACGTGGGCTTTGATTTGGATATGGGCTTCCCTTGCAAGGATTA